CCTGTACTGGTGCATGGGATTATTCCTCCCCAGGTGCAGGACCCTGCACTTGCCTTTGTTGAACTTGAGGAGGTTCCTCTCTGCCCACCTCTCCAGCCTCTCCAGGTCCCTCGGAATGGCAGCACAGCCTTCTGCTGCGTCAGCCACTCCCCCCAGTTTAGTATCATCAGCAAACTTGCTGAGGGTGCGCTCTGTCCCTTCCTTCAGGTCATCGATGAATACGTTGAACGAGACTGGACCCAGTTTCTTCCACTTGTGTTATCTCTAGTTGTATATGTGCTTTTCCTCAGACCATTTTTTCTGTTTTAAAGAATACCCTCTCCTTTTCCAAATTTCCCATGAAGACCTTCTTTTTGACGCCTGCAAAGGAGACTCAATAATATTAAGCACCATTATTGGTTAAGCTATTTTCAGAAAACAAGCTATCTATTTAAAGTACATTGGCGAAGGCCATCCAGCTATCAGAAAAAAATAAGCACTGGCTTTCATTCACTTAGAATAAGTCAGATTCTATCCCTTTGATTGTGATTAACAGTTCATTCCATTATTCCGGTGTTCAGCAGAAGGTAATCTAGAGTTTACAGAGCTGATGGCAGGGCTCATGGTATAATAGCTTAGTTTTACTGACATCTAGAGCAAAACTCCTACTGACTTTGTTAGAAACTAAATTGCTCAAAATGTCAATAGCTACCTGAATGAAATATAATTCACTAAAAGTCAGCTTTTTAATATCTTAGGTCTCTCTTTAACACATTAGTTGTAATTGGAATTTTGACCATTATTGTTTAAATGGCGACTTTTTCCAGCCAACAGTTGAATTATTTAATGATTTCTGCCAAAACGTATCAAACCACCCTGTAGAAATAGCATTCTATTTTTATTAAAAATGGTTTTGGAACTGAAATTTTGATCAAAACAGAAAGGAACAAATCTTTAGAAACTATTAAAAAACACATTCTTATTCTCTGTGTACCAAATCTGAGAAACAGTTTCTTTAATGAAAACTGTCACATAAGATTCATTTTACTTTTTTGCACCTTGCATTTTTAAATGCTACATAAAATTACAAATTAATAATATTTTCCTCTTTTTTTTTCTTTAGATTGCTGCAAATTCCTGGGGAAAATCTTGGGGAGAAAATGGTTATTTTAGGATTCTACGAGGACAAAATGAATGTGATATTGAGAAGCTGATTATAACCACTTTGGGATAGCCATAGTCTTCTACATTAGTGTATTAACTTGTATGCTGCTTTATACTTCTGTTCTTTCCTTTGTAGCATACTGAGTCTTGCTAAAGAAATAAAATGTCTTCTCTGAAAGTTATCTTTCTTTCTTTTATGAGTTGTTAGGACTTCCTGAGTTTAGCACATTACTGGCATCACAAGAGTCTTAGATCTTTTGCAGTACAAACACTCCTTTACACAAATAGCAAGTTGTCTCCAAGACTGCTGAAAACACAGGTCTTTCAACAGAGCAGAAAGCTGGCTCTCCTGCCTTGTTTACATCTCACCACAGTTTCATTATATTAATAATGCGTAATCCAACAGCGCCTAAAAGAAATGGAGTTTTGTTGTTAGTACTGATCAGTTATATACAGTACTGAATGTTATAATGATATATATTTTTGTCACACCTGCTTTTAGAAATATTTTGAATTCTGCATGGAATTGCCTCAGACAACTCATGGGCATATTAGATAAAAAATTTTTAAAGAAATGTAATTAGAATTTGGATATTTTTAGAGAATAATTATTTTTCTAGCCATACTTGCATAAAATTTTATCCATGCATAACTATTTCTTGTAGAAAAGTAAATTTTTACCAGTAGATGCCATAATGTTGTTGCATTTAGAGTAACATAAAAACTATTTGCAGTGGAACAGCATATTCTCATTCCCACAAGCACAACTGAAACTGTACAATTTCAACAATTTTGTGTAATTAAATGAAAATAAAGAAGATGATAACATAATTCCTTCTCAATAAAATCTAGACATGATTCACTCCTTAACTACTTCCCACTATTTATCCTGGGAACAGGTAAGTGTATAAGTGCCTGTTCTATCACGGTTCCCAAAAGCCTGTTTGTGCTATCCTACAGATAAGGACTAAAAAGACATTCTATTGTTTTTTTCCACTGACATATCTGTAGTCCAGACACGGTTTCTGGTGTTGGCAGCATAAAGTCTATCAGGATTTTTTTGGTGCAGATATGTCACTCCAGCACTCCAGAGCTCATTTCACTACTAACTTCCTTTGCTGCTTTTGTCTGAAGAAGTAGGCTACCGGCATGCATCCTCTTTCATTAGCATTTCTACAAATATTGGCAGGATTGAGGGTCGATTTTACTTTACACAGATATTGCAAATATTAGTACCAAAAAAAAAGAACTACTCAGTGCCCCTTTTCATTTCAGCTAATTCAAAGGCCAGCTGCCAAAAGGAATCATTGATCCTAAAATTATCTAAAAGAGAAATAGTTCTACTGACATTACATAGGTAGAAAAAAAAACTGCAATGAAATTCTAGAGAATAGAGAATTTTTAGTGACATCTTCAGGTCTTTATTAGGCTATTCCTCACTCTTTCATTCTAGAAAATGAGGAACTCCTAATATCATCCGCAAAAGAGTAATAGCTTTTTCTTCAAGAGGTGTTCTTGGTGGTAGTATACAGCAGATGTCCTTGCCACTAAACTTGGGTCACAAGTTATATAGAGCACTTCTAAAAGAGCTATTATTAAAATGTTAGTATCACACTGCTGCAGAACATGCTCTTTTGTGGCCTCTAGGGTCACACAATAAGCTGAATTTAGACACAAAAACCTTCATCACTTGAAAGTTACAGCGAATTGTAACAAGCAATTTGAGAAAAGCTAAATGCTCTGACAGAAGAGCACTTTTTTAGGTTTAGTGAGCTAATCCAGTGTTTGTGAGGAAAATATACTGAGTCATCTACATGGCTACTTCCTAGCTTCTTGATGTGCATTGATTCCATTATCTGCAAGATTTCAAAAGAGGAAGATTTAGCTCTGCAGTGAATGATAGTGTGAATGATAGGGCCCCGATGGGATGCACCCACGAGTGCTGAGGGAGCTGGCAGATGTTATCGCTAGGCCACTCTCCATCATCTTGGAAAGGTCATGGCAATCAGGAGAGGTGCCGGAGGACTGGAAGAAAGCCAATGTCACGCCAGTCTTCCAAAAGGGCAAGAAGGAGGAGCCAGGAAACGACAGGCCTGTCAGCCTCACCTCCATCCCTGGAAAGGTGATGGAACAGCTCCTCCTGGAGGTCATCACGAAGCATCTGGAGGACAAGAAGGTGATCAGGAGTAGTCAGCCTGGATTCGCCAAAGGGAAATCATGCTTGACCAATCTGATAGCCTTCTATGATGGAATGACTGGCTGGGTAGATGAGGGCAGAGCAGTGGATGTGGTCTGCCTGGACTTCAGCAAGGCTTTTGACACTGTCTCCCATCACATCCTCCTAGGTAAGCTCAGGAAGTGTGGGCTAGATGAGTGGACGGTGAGGTGGCTTGAGAACTGGCTGGATGGCCGAGCTCAGAGGGGTGTGGTGAATGGCGCAGAGTCAAGTGGGAGGCCTGTGGCTAGTGGTGTCCCCCAGGGGTCAGTCCTGGGTCCAGTCTTGTTCAATATATTCATCAATGACCTGGAGGAAGGGACAGAGTGCACCCTCAGCAAGTTTGCTGATGATACTAAACTGGGAGGAGTGGCTGACACACCAGAAGATTGTACTGCCATTCCGAGGGACCTGGAGAGGCTGGGGAGGGGGGCAGAGAGGAACCTCCTGAAGTTCAACAAAGGCAAGTGCAGGGTCCTGCACCTGGGGAGGAATAATCCCATGCACCAGTACAGGCTGGGGGTTGACCTGTTGGAAAGCAGCTCTGCGGAGAAGGACCTGGGAGTGCTGGTGGACAACAAGTTAAGCCTGAGGCAGCAATGTGCCCTTGTGGCCAAGAAGGCCAATGGGATCCTGGGGGGCATGAGGCAGAGTGTTGCCAGCAGGTGGAGGGAGGTGATCCTGCCCCTCTACTCAGCCCTGGTGAGGCCTCACCTGGAGTACTGTGTCCAGTTCTGGGCTCCCCAGGACAAGAGAGACATGGCACTCCTGGAGAGAGTCCAGCGGAGGGCTACCAAGATGATTAGAGGGCTGGAGCATCTCTCCTATGAAGAAAGACTGCAAGAGCTGGGCCTGTTCAGGCTGGAGAAGAGAAGATTGAGAGGGGATCTCATCAACGTGTACAAGTATCTGAAGGGGGAGTGTCAAGAGGATGAGGCCAGCCTCTTCTCCGTGGTGCCCAGCAACAGGACAAGAGGCAATGGGCACAAATTGAACCACAGGAAGTTCCATCTGAACCTGAGAAAAAACTTCTTCCCTGTGAGGGTGCCAGAGCATTGGAACAGGTTGCCCAGAGAGGTGGTGGAGTCTCCTTCCCTGGAGATATTCAAAACCCGTCTGGATGTGATCCTGGGCAATATGCTCTAGGTGACCCTGCTTGAACAGGGAGGTTGGACTAGATGATCTCCAGAGGTCCCTTCCAACCTAAACGATTCTGTGATTCTGTGATTCTGTGAAAACATATCCAGTCAGTTTTGGTGTTTCATTTCATTTAACCTTTACTTCAAGCTGCCTTGCACTGTTACAGTTCTCACTTCCATCAGTGGCCAATGGCACCTCTGATTCACTTGCCAAATCCGTCCAAAATCGTGGGATAGGCAGTCATTTTGGGTATCTTCAGTGAAGAGAAGGCTCAGACTAGTCTACTAGATCTTTATCTGCTCAGCTCTGGCTTAGTGAAACAGCATAAGCAAGTGAAAAAATCTATTTGATGGTTTGTAAAGTGGTATTGTCCTACCCCACGTTCTGGGATGAATTTCTGGTAGCCATTCTTTAGTAATCTAAGGGGGTCTATGTGCTCAGTGCTCTGTCTTTCACTCTCTCTCAGTATCACAAAGCTGCTGCCTGTAGAAATGCCATGAGTGCCACGCTTCATGTAAATAACTTCTAAGTGGAGTAATTCGTTTTATTATGGTAGACAATCTGGAAGAAGAATGCAAAAAGAACTTTGTAGTAGAAACTTTGCCATTGAGGAACTCAGTCTATAAATGGCACAATATCCTGTAGTATATCTGACTTCTTGGCTTCTTCTTCTGTGTCCTGCCCAGTGAATATACAAATTATCATTTGTATATATTTTCCAAAATTATAGGGCTTAGTGATCTGCTATCACTCCCTTTCCAAAAGGGTGAGTCAACTTTCAGCTAGCTGACTAAAAGTTGCTAGGAAGATTTCTTGAGTGGCATTTTTGATCTGATGGTATATTTCCATCTGAGAAGAGCAGAACAGTTAGTTCATCTGCGCTGTTTTCCATACTATTATGAGGGACTATAAAAGTGCTACAGGAATGAACCTTGAGGAATGACAAGCCTCCAAGGCTGCGTGAGGAAAGGAAGAGCTAGCTAAAAGAGTGATCTACAGGGATTTGTGAGGTCGGGTGAATAAAGAAGCAGCAGCTGGGTTTAATAAGCCAAGTTCCTATAGTTCCAGTAGAGGGGGGAAACTGGGCATCATGTTAATTCCAAGTCACTATGGAAAGACATGGTACCCATATTTCACAGGCAGGAAAAAGTAACTGTATCTGGAAGCTCCTTTTCTCTGTGAAAACTACACTGCTCTGCTGCTGTTCAGTGTAAGAGTGAAGGGTCTCCTGCCAGTGCAGGTCTTCTCATGCTCTGGCTGATCAAGATATGATGGGGCCTGGGAGCTGCTGGCAGCTCTGCATCTGGCAGATTGTCTGGAGACAGATTTTAAATGTTAGAAAGGCTGTGAGCTCTTCTACTCCGCTGTTTGGTGAGAGTATGAGGAAACTTGTTCTTTATGAAGATGCCCCCCTCTCACTTTTTTGCCTCTCAGTCACTAATGCTCAGCTGTGCTTGCAAGCTCAGGCTAAAAGTATCATCTAGCCCGGAGTTTTTATGGTATGAATGGAAAAGAATAATATGTAGGCTAGAGCTCAGGCTAACTCAATATTGAGCCCATCAACTTTAAATCATTAGTGTTACTAATGGTCTGTGGCAATAGCAGAAGGGTTGCTGGCAAAAAGGGAAGGCAATGCAGAAGTACCCTTTGTGTATCTGTCATGCCGTAACTTCCCTTTTCCATTGAAAGCAGGTAGGTAGTAGTATTTGAGCAAAAAATAAATCCCTACTCAGACTACATATCATAATATTCCTTTGTAGCAACATGCTCTATGAGGTTTTGATTAGGTGTCACTCTAACTGCGCAACTTTAACACTGG